ATTCAAGCGACACGGAATCCGCGAATGTACCAAATACAGCCTCATTACAGCCGTCAAACACAACCAATCTAGCTCAACTTTCGACTGCCTCCTCGCTTTTTTCCGACTTGACTTCTCTTCATACAGCCACGCTCAAAACCCTCGTAGCCGGTTCAAATGCAACCTCATTGTCGTCTTCTTCGGCCAGTGATCCTCGGCCTCGTCCACCGCCAGCGCCGTCACTTGAGTCGAGTCAGCCTCGTCTTCCTCGACTTCGTTCACGCCAGATTTCCAGCCTCCTCGAGCCCGACGCGTGTCTGGTGGACGCTGAATGTCGCCAACGCTGGACTAAATGCTGTCGACAACAATGCACCCCCGCCGTCTTTCCAGCCGGTGAGTAAAGGAGGTGCACCGACCAAAAAGGCTGCCTGGTCGTCTATTTTATCTTGACGTTGAGGTCTAAAACCCTAATTCTCTTCGTACCATTTTTCTGGCACGTTCCGTCAGTATTGGAGGAGATGGTCGATCAGCTGATTACATCAATTGAGTGTATCAGCTGATCGCATCAGCTGATCGCATTAGCCGCTTGTTATAGGAGGATGCCGTCTAAAACTAAAAAAAATAACGGTTCTTTTCTGCAAAGGCATTGAGATCAGATAAATGATTCAATGGTTCATTTGAGACGATCCCAGAAAGACAAAAAAAATTAATTGGGCCTCACATTTATGCTCCAGTACAGCTTTGCCGGTCTTGGCATGTCCTCATCTGAAGTATGGACATGTTAGTGGATGGACAGACGTATACAATCTCACATGTTCGCCTTGCTAGTCCTTCCAAATGCACAAACCCATGAGGCATGAGGTCGTCCTTAAGGCCTGTTTCCACTCCATTCCAGTTCGCATTGGCAGTCCGTCTGGGAGGCATTCTAAACAGACGTAACTCCCTCATCTCGATTTTTGTCTCTTCACCTGTCTTCCTTATCTTGCCAGAGTTGGTCGTCCCATGTCATTTGTTGGGTTGCATGTGTATCTGTAAATGTTTATTTCGCCTGAAAGTGTGTATGCTCATTTGCCTGAATGGCTGCCGATTTCCAGACGAATTTCTGTGAAAAAAGGGACACTGTGAATAATCTTTTTTTTCTTATAAGTAGTTTTCGAGACTATTAATAAGTAGATACGAAGAGAAACTGGGTTTCGATGAATCTCCTGAGATAACATTGTTAGAGGGACCTTCA